AGACAATCCAGAAAATGTAACATGGGCTTACTATTTGATTAAGTAAGGAATTTTATTCTCATTGCTGGGTTTTAAAGGGTTGGTAATGTCAGTATGGCTATATTTACAGGATACCATTATCTTTCAGCAATGCATACTGAATATTTATAGACAAGAATAAAATGTCTGGGATTCGCTTCAAAATAATCTGTGTGGAGGAGAGGGAGGAATTACCAAGATGAGGGTGGCTGTGCATTGACAGTTGTGGGGGCCAGGTGACATGGCTTCATCGTGACATTCTTAGTGCTTCTGTTATAAGAATGAAAATCTCATGATAAAAAGTAAACCTGTATGAGATCATGTGCACATGTGTGGGTGCAAATACGAAAATCTCATGATAAAAAGTAAACCTGTGCGAGATCATGTGCACATGTGTGGGTGCAAATACCCCTGCGTGTGTTTATCTATAAAGATCCCCACTTTCTAGGTAACTTGGCTATCACTGGGACCTCCAGTGAGACCTGAACTCCATTCATGCTCTTGTCTTTTTTTTTTTTTCCTGGAGAGATTTTCGCTATAGGGTGTGTGCGCTCACCAGACAGACAGAGAGAGACATTAGAGACAGAAAGCGAGAAATCACCTCCCAGGGGGGATGGTCACGCCGCAATCCCCTCTCCTCCATTCTCCTCTCGGGATCTTGGGCACGCACACACACGCGCCCGGCGTGAGTTTTAAGCCTCGGGGTCCAGGACGCGAACCGCGGTCTACTACGTGGGAGTCCAGCGACATAGCCATTACACTAACTGCTGGTTCCCTCATGCTCTTGTCTTTGAAGTGATGAGGGTCTTTGCTACTTACTAAGATAAATATCCCCACTGGCCCCAGCTCTGCATCTTTAGCCGGGTACCAGGAAGTAACTGGAGTCACCTGTTGCCCCTGGATCCTCCCCAGCCTGGAGCCACTGGCTGTGGGGCCAATTGATCTGCCAAGCTCCTGGTCTGTCTCTTGGAGGCTCACTGGCTTCCCCTGGCAGACCCAAAGACCCCAGTTTTGGGGTGTTTTCTCACAGACATTCATAGTAGCCTCACAACTTAGTGATGCACGCTTTGCTGGGTGTTGGGGGCAGGGAATCATGTGAGATGGATACAAGACTGAGGTAAAAATAACACTGTTCCCAGAAGCAATTTCCCCAAGCCAGTCGGCAGCCTCTGGTTATTTGTTACCTAGGAAGGTGGGGAAAAATAAAGATGCCCTGTTTTCTAAACAGCTGCATTTCCATCTGCACGTGCGCTGTGCTGCCATCTGAGCAGGTTAATAAATCCAGATCCTGAAAACCCTGCTCGTGCTCTCAGAATGGGAGCCGTGCTGGATGTAATGTGGAAAGAGTTCCTGGATCATGTCTGCTTAACTTTAAAGACCGTGCTAGAAAAAAAAGTACTTCCAGATAGATGATATTAAATTGGATATGAAATTGGAAAGCTTGATGCACGAATTCTGTAAATGCGATACTTATGGTTCCTAAATTCTCAACGAGGTATAATAAACACATGCAAATTCTGACACTTTGCATAGAAGCCAATGAAGAGGCTCCTGTGATGGCAGTGAATCAGGACCAGCCCGGGCGCCTCTCCACAGGTAGGGCAGAGCCCAGCTGGCCTCCTGGGCTGAAGCCAGGCCCACCCTCAGGCTGGACTTCTGCAGGCCAGGGCAGGTCAGCATTTATGCTGGCTCCGGGCCCGTCAGTCACAACCCAACCCCTTGAGCGTGGCTCCTGTGCCCAGTGACATTCTTCTTCCTTGGGGTGATGACCTATCCAGCTCTTCGCCAGACTACTCTGCTCCGACTCTCCCTCTAGTGAGGAGGCTCCCACATGCTCTTGGGGCAGATAGTCTGCCTGCAGGCAGCGTGCCCATGTCCTCACCAAGAACTCTCCAGGGCCCTTTCTGGCTCTCCTGGAAGGGCCTCTGGCAGGTCCCAGAGTGCATCTGGTCTGACCTGGCTCACCTGTCTGGATACCCTATCTGAGGCCTGACCCATCGGCCTGACAACCTTGCCTAGGGGAGGTGCCCTTCAGGGAAAGGCCTGCCTAAGTGCCTCTGTGGCAGGAGAGAGCTCAGTCTTAAAAATCCAGGAGGAACCTGTCTCTAGGAACAGGTCACTTCCCAGGCTGCCCCTGCCCTGTCCTCTCACTCCACTGTTCCCTGAGACTCCTAAGGGCTGCTTTCTTTGTGGCTGACATGAGGCCAAGTCAGCGACTGTAAAAGATGTTCTATATGAGGTATCCGAAGGTCGAGTACATCACTAAGATGCCCTGAACCCAGCGTTAGCTATTCAACAGAAAGCTTAAAGACTGGACAGTGGTATAAACTTTGATTGGTCTGTTTTCAATTCGCTGATTCACAACATTTGCTGAGGACCTAGGATATGTCAGGCCTGGGCCCCACGGGGACTGCCCAATTGCTGACACTGGGGAGCTACCGCCTAGCAGGGCAGAGAGCAGCGACTTATCATGACACACGAGAGAATGAGGGCGAAAAAGAGAGCAAGAGAGAAAGAGAGAGAGGGAGAGAGAGGAAGAATGAGACAGAGACAAAGAAACAGGGAGATAGACTTGTACACGTATATATGCACACAGTGATAGAGAAAGAGAGCAAGAGAGATAGACTGTTGGCCAGACCAAGGAGGCTGTGAGGGGAGGAAAGGTCTGTACTGGGTCTCTGAATCAGCAAATACTTAACTGAAAGCAAAAGCAAAGAGAAATGCAGTGAACAGGGAGATAGACTTGTACACGTATATATGCACACAGTGATAGAGAAAGAGAGCAAGAGAGATAGACTGTTGGCCAGACCAAGGAGGCTGTGAGGGGAGGAAAGGTCTGTACTGGGTCTCTGAATCAGCAAATACTTAACTGAAAGCAAAAGCAAAGAGAAATGCAGTGAGCCTTGCTCTTTCCAGGCCTTGCAAGGCTTGGACAGCTGACCACCGAGCAGGTGAATGTAGCTTTCTGGGAGGGTCCAGCCTGGGGAAAGGCTGAAGGGCCCCTCTATGGAGGAGGCAGCTCCTACCACCCTCTAGAAGGAAGCCTGAGCTTCAGAGCTTGCACAGTGTCCTGCACAGCCTTCATGGCCAAGGAGACTTGGGGCAGTTGGAAGGAGGACCGGGAAGCCCAGGTTTTGCTGGCTCCCTTCCCTCCTCCTCCTGGGCTGCTCCTACCATCTTTCTAGCTGGCGGGAGAAAGACTGGCACAGAGAAGAAGTCCCCCAGCACATTGGCTCTGGGAAAGTGAACATCACTGTGGGTCTTGGGAGGGATCATCTGTCCATCTGACCATGGGAGCTGGCCTGTTCCTACTCCCCTCCAGCTGACCACTGAGTCACAGCCTCTTCATGACATGCACTCATGTATGGTTTGCCTGCTTAGGCGTTATGGATACACCAGAGCAAACTCATCTGGATTTCAACCGTGAGTGGTTTCCATGGCAGTGTTTTCTTTCTGGCAGGTGGCCCCTTTGTGGAGTGGGCTGAGCTCCTCTGAGAGGTTGAGGGTTCCTCCTTAGATCTAGAGAGTGCAGAATTAGGAATTGATAATCTCTAAAACTGCTCTGGAGGGCTCCTGACAAATCTTTGGCTTCTAGGATAGACCCAGGCTCATCGAGCACCTATGTAGGATATGCAAAGTCCTGCTGGGGGTTGCAGAGACAGTTAGGGATGGCCTTGCTCATCAGTAGTGTGATGTCCATTGGAGAAAGAGACAGGTATAGAAATAACTATATTTTAAGGCATCAGGGGCAGGAACTAACCTGAGGCAATGGAGTTGTCCATTCTGAGGGGAAGAACAAGCAGGTAGGGCTTCCTGGAGGAGGTAATCTTTGAGCTGTGTGTCAAAGGATAATAAGAACCCACTGAGTAGGAAAAGGCCAGGCCTGGGAAGGTGGGGCAGTATGGATCCTGGGATTAATGATCTTGCAGAGGAATGGCACAGCCAGCTTCTGGGAATCTCTAAAGCCAGCAAGAAGAGACATATTTTCTCAGCAGCAGCAGGAAGCTGAGAATGGTTCAGGCAGAGGAAAGACTCAGAAGTCTCTCAAAGAGACCCTTGTGTGAGGAGAGATGGCTGGTGTGAACAGGAGGCTCCGGCTGGCTGCTGGAGACACCTGAGCTTTGCCAATGCTCAGAACCAAGGATGTCTATACCTCTCCCCATGGACCTAGGAAGTAGGGACAGACAGGCCATGGGAATGTTGGATATGGCTGGGTGAATGTGGTACAGGGCTCTGATTAGTGAGCAGGACTCTCGGGTCACAGGGTGCTTTTGAGAGTCCAGCTGTCCCTGCTCCTTCCTGAGGGTGGGAGTGTGTCCAGCTCTTCCTTGCCATGGGAAGCCATGTTCTGTATCTTGGGGAAACACATTTTCTCCCTCTGTGGACTCAGTTTCTCTCCTACCTTTCCTAAAGCACAGACTTACGTGTGGGTCCCTGACACAGCCTTACCCCAAGGCCAGACACAACTGGCAGGGAAAGCCTAAAGAAATAGAATAGAAATTCTGGACTTGTCTCTCTCCAGCCCCACACAAGGGCTTGTGGTCCCATGGTGCAGGGGGAGCTGCGGCTGCATCTGCAGGTGAGGGTGAGGGCTTACTGAGGCATAGGCAGCCCACGTGTACTATGGGTAGCGGGGAGTCTCTGTGACAGAGACTGTATGTCCTATCAAGCCAACATCACTGATGTAGAGCCTCCCCAGAGGTGTAGGCACCTGCCCTGGCAGGCCTGGTGTGGCTCTCCCCGCATTAACTCTGCTCTCCTCTCGTCACTTCTCCCTTCTATGCTGACTGGCTCTTCCCCTGTGCTGGGCTTCGAGTCTGAGCTGGGGCTCTGCTCCCACCGTGACAAGCTGTGATTTTGTGAAATATGTATTTGGTCTTTGTCCAGTTGTAACCGGATGGAGGCTGGTTCTGAATCCAAGTTTGCTGCTCAACAGCCAATGTTGGAGAGACAAGTATTGATGTAAAGGAAAGGTAGCTTTATCCAGGAAGCTAGAGAGGAGGGGGAGATGGTGGATTAGTGCCCAAAGACCATCTTCCAAGTCCTGGTCTGATGAGAGGGATGTTTCAAGGGACACAAGGAGCGGAGCTATATGCTATTTTGTCCCGCCAGCAGTTCGTCATCTCCTTGGCTGATCCCACGGAGGAGACTTGTTGATGTCATGGTTGTTATTTTCAGCTGTGGCTGGGTCGGGTGAACCTGGTAATCAGGGCAGAAGTTCTTATCTTCCTTGAGCACATCTGCTTCTGGGGTTGCAGTCTCAAGGCCTGGTCTCTGTAAAATCTCAGCAAAGCTATGATTAGTTTCAGCAAGAAACAAGACTTATTATGCCTAAGAAAGAAAACAAGTTGAAGGACAATCTACACAGTATTTTAACCTGTGGTGTTAGATTTCACGTGGAATTACTTTGCTTCTTCTATGTAGCCTACTATACCTTCTGGTGTACAATTCCTAAAACCCTTGGAATTTCCGAAGTAATAAGTGGCTTTTTTTTTTTAAATTTATTTTTTTTGAGAGGTTTTTGCTATAGGGTGCGTGCGCTTGCCAGACAGACAGAGAGAGACAGAGAGCTAGAAAGCGAGAAATCACCCTCCAGGGGGGATGGCCACGCCACAATCCCTTCTCCTCCATTCTCCTCTCGGGATCTTGGGCACGCACGCACATGCGCCCGGCGTGAGTTTAAGCCACCGGGTCCGGGACTCCAACCGTGGTCGACTACGTGGGAGTCTAGCGACATAGCCATTACGCTAACTGCTGGTCCCATAAGTGGCTTTTTGTATGCTAATAAGTTGACTGATGACTGGCCATGTCTAGGTAGCTTCGAGATGGGGCTGGACATGGAAAGGACAAGGTAGTATTGAGAGGGGGGAGGACTTTCAGCCCACCCCTAACTTCTGTGGTGGAGAAAGGGGCTGAAACTTGAGTTGATCCCTAATAGCCAATGATGATTTTTAATGGCTTAACATATTTTCAAAACAATATTTTAACTTTTTAAAAAGTTTTTGCCATAGGGCACATGAGCTTAACATATTTTTAAAACAATATTTTTAACTTTTTAAAAAGCTTTTGCCATAGGGCACATGTGCTCACCAGAGAGAGACAGAGAGAGGAAAGGGGAGACTCATCCACCCCCACAGGGGAGATGGCTATACTACGATCCATTCTTCTCTTGGATTCTGGACACGCATGCACATGCTCCTAGCGTGATTTTCAAGCCGCCAGGAGGTCCGGAACTCAAACGAAGTTGGCCATGTAGAAATCCAGTGCCTTAACCACCACACTACTTGCTGGCCCCAATGTTAGCATTTTCAAATTGGCACATAATAATTGCACCTATCTACTTTATGTTATGACTGTACTCATTTATATTCCCACCAATAGTTTAAAAGAGCTCCCCTTTCTCTGCATCCTCACCAGATTTGTTACTTTGGTCTTTTCGATAATAGCCAATAGCCAGTGATTTAATCAATCATGCTTATGTAATAAAGTTTCTATGAAAACCCAAAAGCTTATAGCTTCCAGATTGCTGATTGTTTTTTTCTTTTCTTTCTTTTTTTTTTTTAAAGAGAGGTTTTTACTACAGGGTGCGTGCGCTTGCCGGAGAGACAGAGAGTGGAGACAGAGAGATAGAAAGTGAGAAATCCCCTCCCACCAAGGGGGATGGCCACGCTGCAAACTCTTCTCCTCCAGTCTCCTCACAGGATCTTGGGGATGCATGCACATGCTCCCAGCTTGAGTTCCAAGCTGTCAGGTCTGAGATGGGAACAGCGGTCAACTACATGGGAGTCCACTGACATAACCATTACGCTATCCGCTGGTCCCAAATAGCTGATTATGTACATGGAGGTCCCCAGAGGACAGTGGCCTACAGAGGGATCAGAAGTCCCATGCTTATTCCCCCATACCTCGCCCTATGCATCTTTTCAGTTGCTGTTTATCTGCATTCTTTGTAATATCTTTTATGATAAACCTGTAAATAGAAGTATTTTCCAAAGTTCTGTGAGCTGTCCCAGCAAATTAATGGACCCCAAAGAGGGGATATTGGAAACACCAATTTATAACCAATGGGTCAAGAGCACAGATAAAACAACCTAGGGGGAGCCGGCAGGTGGTGCAATGGTTAAGATGCTGGACATCCACGTGGTCGACTGCAGTTCAAGTCCCAGACCTGGTGGCTTGCTTTCTCTCTCTCTCTCTGGTGTAATTAAAATAATAATAACAAATAAAATAAGATAAATAATTCTTAAAAGAAAAAAAGCAACCTATGGCTTTCATTTGGTGGGGGAAAGTCTTGAGAACTAAGTCCTGAACCTGTGGAATCTAACACTACCTCCAGGTAGATAGTGTCAGAATTTATTTGAATTACAGAACGCCCAACTGGTGCCCACTGCAGAGTTGCTTGCTTGCATGGTGTGGGGGTTAAAACCTCTAGAAACTTGGCCACAGAAATGTTCCATGTTGGTTGTTGGGTGAGAGTATAGGAGAAGCAGTTTGCTTTTTCTTCTATTTTTCTCAGGCAAACTCTAAGGGAAGAGAAAGCCAAACACAGCGAGGTGAAACGACCTACCCCAGGCTGTGCAGCTAGTGCCAATGAGCAGGAGAGGCCAGAACTGGGGTCTGTGTCTGCTCTAAACTCTGCATCCCACTGGTAGTCCTTTCAGTGTGGTAGTCTCAGCTGATGGGGTGGGGGTACTTATGCTGCTCTACAGTAATTTAAATATCCTTTGGCAAAAGCAGTTAGAATCATCAAGAACAGCTCTCAGTGTTTTCAGAAAAATATCAGCTGCTTTTCCACTCCTTCCTTCGCTTGGGATTATGCAAGGTCTGTTGAGGCTGAGCCTGTGATGCTGGTTGGTATCAGCACTCTGAAACTCTGCCTCAGACCTTGCAAGGAGGCCCAAGGCCAGCCTTGCCGTCCACTTCCCAGCTCTGGGTCCTGTAGCTGAAGTCTGGTCCAAGGCAGCTTACCCTGTGTGGGTATGAGCCAGTGAAGGACGTGGCTGGATTTCCCCAAAGATCTTTCTGCATCCTGACCATGCTGAGCCCTTTGGGCTGGCATCACTTAGACACAAATGAATGTGTTTATTGGTTTTGGTCTGAAACAGATGAAAAGTCACCGAAGGATTTTGCAGTAATTAAAAACCAGCCACGGTGGCCGCAGGTGCTGTTTGAGAGGTGGCTCCCACAGTGAGGAAATCGCTTGTCTCCCAGTGGAGCCCAAACCTGGTTTCACAGAAGTGACAGGAAGGTTATAATCACTGTGCATTAATTAAAAGAATAAAGCACCAGAAACCTCAAGAGCCTCAGAGAACTCAGGGAGTGGCAGATTTGGAACTTGGGTCCCAGGCTCAGGCTGCATGGCCCTGGTTGCAGTGAGAGGAGGAGGCTTCTCTGAGCTTCTGATCCGTCAGAAGCTGCCCATTGGGGGTAACTTCAAAAGCCATAAAGTCACTACAGTCAGATGGAGGGGCTTCCCAGTCCCCAGACACTGTCCCTGGGCAGGAGGCTGGTCTGAGGTGGAGAGCAGGTTAGGAGCTTATATTTGTGGTCTGGTCTACACGTCATCAGCCCTTGACTTGCCACTTTCAGGTGACATGGGACAAAATGCTCTGCTGAGCTGTTCTAGGGAAATAATGAGAGCTGACAATTTCTTTTTCTTTTTAAAGAATTATTTATTATTTTTATGGTGATTATTTTAAATTTTGCAACAGGGCACATTTGCTCATGAGAGAGAGAGAGGAGGAGAAAGTGAGAAAGAAGCTGCCAGGTCCAGGGACTCGAACTACGGTCATGTGGAAGCCTAGCAACTCAACCACCACACCGCCTGCTGGCCCGAAAGCTAACAACTTCAGAATGAGGTTAGTCAGGATCTCCTCTCCCTGGAGGTGAATGAAGACTTTTGTACCCTGAGCATCTGCTCATTCCAGCTGCATTCCCTAGATTCGAATCATCTGTGTGCAAAACGGAGGCCTTAGTTGAACGTGGGAGAGAGCCAAAGCTTTGGGCAGACGCTCCTTCCCATATACTGCAAAGAGGCAAGCTCACCTAGGTTTGTGGTCAGGAGTAACACATGTACATCCTGGCGTCCTCATGACTTGTCATCCACATGCCTCACCTGGATGGTTGGGACCCTGCCACCCACCCCAGTCTCTTTGTGTTCCATGCACCCTACTAAAAAGCAGGAAGAAGACATTCTGCATGTGGATGCTCCAGAGGGGTCCAGTCTCTGGAGCAGGCCCTATGGATCCCAGACTTCCTAACCAGCTACATCATGAACTAACTCCTTGCAATTAATCTCTTAATATGTGTCTCCTATTGCCTCTGCTTCTCTGGTGAGACTGACATTTCAAAGACTCAATGGTCATTTGATGCAATAGGAAACCCGTGTGTTGACCTGTCTGATGTTTCCCATGCTTCCCTCCCTCTGGAATCCCTGTGGCACCAAGAAGTGGGGCTGAGCAGCAAGTGATGGGTGGATGGTGGATAGTGTAGTTTAAGGTTCTCCCTTGATGTCTGCTTGGGGGCACAGGCCTCTTACACTGAAAAGGCCATACTTGAGCCCAACTAAGCCCCAAAGAAGCATGAGGTGCTGGGGTCTGAGTGCTGGGATGCTGATCCCACTGGGGTTGAGGTGCAGGCACAGAGGGAGGTGTGGATTTGAGCCGAACTGCATTGGGCCGTCTACCTCTGGTCTGCACAGCACCTGTGTGGTGCTTTGCCCAAAGCCCATCCTCAGCCAGAGGCTCCTGCCAGGTGTTTGCTTTCTCTGATGAGTCTTCTACTGAGACCACCTCACCTGAGACCTCCACCTCTGTGCTGGCTGCCACCTGGGGGGTCAGGCCAGTCCCTTCCCTTGTGAGGATGGTTATCCTGAGATGGTGGTGTGGCACTGAATGCTCAGAGTTGTGAGCTAAGTGCCCCTAACCCTCCTGGCCATGGACTCCGAAAAGCCCTTGGCTTTATGATTTTTCTCTCCTTGTGAGAAGATCGCTTTTTAAGAAAGTTGCTGGCAGATGATCAAGCCCTGTCAGATGTGTCTTCAAATCCTATTCTGTCTGAATCTGAGTGAGATGTAGAGGTGAATGGTGTTCCCAGGTTGGTGTTGCTGCAGGTTGGGGTTGGGGTGTAGAGGATGCATCAGGGCAGCAGCTAGGGACCTTGCATGGGGGCTCTTGTGACCCGGCTATCACATATTGTTAGGGCCCCAGGCAGCAGGGCAGGGCAGAGGCAGGGGAAACTGTGTCCGCCATCTATAGCTGGGATCTCTGGGTCCTGCTGAGGCAGGTGGCAGAGCCACGGCCTCATGGTGGGATGGTGAGATCCCAGACTATAGAAGTTCAATAGGCTATCTCTAGAGCAGGAGGTGGTTAGCTGGGTGGGTGAGGCAGGAGGGATGCCCTGGGGAAGGGATGGATTAAGCAAACTTCGGGAGCCTGGAGGCCACACCCTGCTGGCTAGGACACAGGTAGAGGCAGTTCACTGGACTGCTTCAGTGGGTGGGTCCATCTGCCAGCTTTGGGAACTCAAATCTGCCCAGTTTTGATTATGGAAGCTTCAACTGGACACTTGATCAGATATAGGTGACCTGCCTCTCAGTGCAGAACATTCTGGTAAGACTTCCAGCTCTGGCCAATAGGCTAAGGAGCTGGAGACTCCTCCCACCTTAAGATGTACACACAATGATGTGAGCACATCTGCAGGTTTAATAGAGAATGGCCACCCTTTTTTTTTTTCCTTTGAGAGAGATTTTTGCTCTAAGGTTCATGCATTTGCTGGTGAGACAGAGAGAGGAAGAGAGACAGAGAGACAGAAAGTGAGAAATCATATCCCAGTGGGGATGGCCATGTTACAATCCTTTCTCCTTCATTCTCTTCTCAGGATTTTGGGCACATATTCAACATGCACCTGGCATAAATTTCAAGCCACCAGGTCCAGGACTTGAACCATGGTCAACCACATAGGAGTCCAGTGCATTAACCACCATGCCACTTGCTGGCCCTCTCATACCTTTGTTTTAAGGCTTGAAATGTACAGAAACTCACCTGCCAGGTCAGGTTGGTACACGAAGCCCAGGTCTTCCCCATTGGTTTCTGTCCACCCCAAGGCTCAATGTGGCCACCTCTCACTCTTCACATGATGTTCGTCCTCACTCTGGAGATGAGGCCAGCACTAGACAAGTGGAGATGACCATAAACAGAAAGGGAGGAGCAGGAAGTTCTGAGACTTAGAATCTTGAGAACTTCATGACTCAGTGACATTTATCTGCTGGATGAGACCCAGTATAGTTCCCAGGTGGGTGAGGTAAGCAGGCAGGTGGCCCAGCATGGATGGTAGAAGCTCACTGCTCCACTCTGTTTTCCAGGAAGGCACAACTGCCACTCTCCAAAATGGGACCTTCATCCCAAGCAACCAGAACCCGAGGAGTGGCCTGTTTTCCACCGCAGGCCAGTGCCAGGCTCAGTGTTTTGTATTTGGGCAGAGACTCCCATTACGTGTCTATGTATCTGTCTCACACATACACGTAACTGACCAACTCCAGCTGACTGTGTAAATTGCAATGATTTACTAACTGTTCAGTCCTCACCTTTTGCATACATATTCAGTAATGGCCATTTTTAGAAACAGCACTAAACCTATCATTTCTTTGCATAATACCAGAATGATTTTCGCACAGTAGCTGAGAAACTCTCAAACATGTTTGTTTTTGTTAAGCTAATTTGTATATTTATGACATTTAACCTCTTTTAGGAGGAATTTTCTGGAAAAAAGTTGAGCATTCTTGCATTTGTCTCAGTTCTCCCTCAGCTGCTACGATAAAATGAGCATCCGTGCACAGATTTTTGTTACAGCATCAGTGGTCTGCATGACACTGTCTCATGAGCCCCAGCTACTGCTTAGAGAGTTTCCATCTTGAGAATCAGGTTCATCCACTGATCTAAGATGAGGGAATGAAAAATATTCTCTTTTACCTCCTGTAATTCATTGTTACTGTTGAGCTAATATATTTCTTAGAGGGTTTGAAACTTGATTTTGATTTTGCTTCATGAATTTTCATCTAATATTTGAATATATTTTTTGGAATTATTTATTTAATTTTATTTAGTCATACATTTATTTTAATTTGACCAGAGAGAGAGACAACAGAGAGAGAGAAGAAGTGAGAAAGCCAGTCACTAGGTCCAAGACTTAAACCATGGTAGGCCATGTGGGAATATCCCCCAGTGCCTTAACCACCATGCCACCTGCTGGTTCCAATATTTGAATATTTTTAAAGTTTGTGTTATTTCTTTCATGAGAAGTGCCTGTATAACACATGAGAAAGAGAGAAATATATATAGAGAATCCCCCAATGGGGCCTGGCTGCACTGTAAATTTTATACCTCCAATTCTCCATCCCATCAGGATCCTGGGCATGTACTCACACTGGGCATATAAGCTACTGGAGCCAGGACTTGAATCCTGGTTGCCACGTAAGATCCAGCTTCTTCTCGGGACTGGCAGTTAACGTGTCACTGAACTCCTACGTAGTCGACCCCAGTTCGCGTCCTGGACCCGGTGGCTAAAAACTCACGCCGGATGTGTGTGCGTATGTGCCCAAGATCCTGAGAGGAGAATGGAGGAGAAGGGATTGCGGCATGGCCATTCCCCCTGGGGGGTGATTTCTCGCTTTCTGTCTCTCTGTCTCTCTCTGTCTGTCTGGCGAACGCATGTGCCCTAAAGCAAAACAAAAACAAAAACAAAACAAAACAAACAAAACATAAAACAAAAAGCAAAAACAAACAAACAAACAAAAACCTCTCCAAGATCCAGCTTCTTCTTCACAGAACTTAATCACTGTGTATGGGGCTGGCCCAACTTTCTCTTTTTTTGAAAGGTAAAGTCATCTCATATTTGTGCCCATTTGCTGCCCTGTTCATTCTCCAGTCATTTGTTTGTTCTTTCTTCCTCACTCTTGTTCATCCCTACAATTCATCCATCCATCCACCCACTCATTTATCTACCATCCATTTATCCATGCACTTGTCTACCTATCTGTCCACTCATCCATCCATCCATCCATCCATCCATCTATCCACCTACCCATCCACCCATTCCTGTTCAAGTATCCCCTTCTCCTGAGGATTTGGCAAACACACAGAAAGCTGCAGTTGAATGGAATGAGAATGGGATAGTAGTGGACCCATGGTGAAGTATGCTGAGGCTAAGGACAGGGGATACCACTTGGCAGGAAGCAGAGTCAGAAAAAAAGTAGGAGTGGGTACATGATAGCACAGACAGAAAGAAAATCAGTAAGAATCTAGACATCTAAATAATATAATTAACCAATTTGACCTAATTGACTGTCATACTCAATAAGTGATACAGTCTTTTTCTAATGCACATGAACTTTTTCCAAAAGAGAGAGCCTAATGCAGCATAGCAAGACACAACAAATTTCAAAAGTTTGAAATCATAATGAGTGTGGTGTCCTACCACAGTAGAATTAAAATAGTAACCAATAGAGAAAGATAAGTAGAGCTCCCCCCACAAAGTTTAGAAATTAAGCAACACACTTCAAAATAATACATGAGTCAAAGAAGTAATTAAAATAAAAATTGGAAAGCATTTTGTATTAAGCATTTGGTAAGTTATAAAAATAATACTTACCAAAATTTGGAGAGTGAAGTTAAAGCAATGCTCAGATGGAAACACACAAGTCAGAAACAAATAAAGATGGAAAATTAGTGACTTAGTCTTCCAACTTGGGGCCTGCAGATGTTGTAATGGTTACATTGCTGAACTCTCACATGGCTGACCGCAGTTCGAGTCCTGGACCCAGTGGCTTAAAACTCATGCTGCGTGTGCTTGCATGCATGCCCAAGATTCTGGGAGGATGGAGGAGGAGGGACTGTGGTGTGGTCATCCTTCCTGGAGGGTGATTTCTCACTTCCCCTCTCACTGTGTCTGTTTTCTCTCTCACTTCCCCTCTCACTGTGTCTGTTTTCTCTCTCTTTGGTGAGTGTGTGTGCAAAAACCTCCTACCAAAGGAAAAAAAAAAGAAAGAAAGGACATCTTCACTACTGATCCAACTAACATTAACAGATATACCAAAAGGAAGGTACACTTTTCATTAATATACTTGGACATTCAGATGAGATGGGCAAATTCTTTGAAAGACATGAATGACTGGCCTCAGAAGAAATAGAAAATGTAAACAGCCCTATTAGTTTAATGAAATTAAATCGGTAAGCAAAAATCTTCCCATAAAGGAAATATTGGGCAGTCAGAGGACATGTGACTTTTTCTGCACTCAGTAGCCTCCAGAGATGTGGCTTTCTGAGAGGAAGGGCTGTGGGCAAGCATTCGCAAGCAGAGAGGACAGCTCGTTTGGATCCTTCCATATTCTGATTCACCATGCCGATACGCTTGTGACTTTTTAGAGTGTACCTGGTTTCTCTTTGTCCCAGGAGAGTTCCTCTGTCCATATATGTGCTCGCTGCTTTATTAAACCCAGGGCTCAGACTTGGGAAACACCACCAGGCATGGAAGCAGTCTTCCTTCTTGTTTCCAAGGCAATCCCAAAAAGGGAATGAAAGCTGCAATCCTTCTACTTTTCAATGCCCAGACTTCCTACAAAGCTACAGTAATTAAAACAGTGTGAGGCTGACCCAGGATAGACAAATAGACCAAAGGAGCAGAAGAGTCCAGAAATGACCTACACACATATAGTTATCAAGTGCCAGGGCTACTTAATCAGAAAAGATGGTGTTTGCAACAAATGGCACTGGATCAATTGCATAGACATGTGGAAAATGATCCGAAGCCCTATTTTGCACCACTGACAAACATTAACTTGAGATGCTTATAGTCCTTATAGAACAAAAGGTGAGACAATAAGGCTTTTAGAAGAAATAAAAGAAATACAAGAATGTGCATGAACAAAGATTTTAAAAAGTAAGACCTAAAAAATTATTCACAACAGAAAAATGCCAGAAATATTAGATTTCATTAAAATTAAGGATTTCTGTTTATCTGGGCCAGTAGTTGGCATGCTGGTTAAGGCACTGAACTCCCACATGGTTGATCACAGTTCGAGTCCTTGACCTGGCGGCTTGAAAATCAAGCCAGGCACATGTTTGTGTGTGCCCAGGATCCCAAGAGGAGAATGAAGAAGGGATTGTGGTGTGGCCATCTACCCTGGGAGGTGATTTCTCATTTTCTCTTTCTCTATTTCTTTCTGGTGAGTGCATGCATCTGATGGCAAAAACCTAAAAAAAAGAATTTCTATTTATTAAAAGATAGCATTAAGAGTTATAAAGTAAATTGTGGACTTGTAAAAAAATGATATAGAATGTATGTTGAGATATATGAGTACATGAGCCAGAATGCAACAAGAACTATAAATCAGTAAGAAAGAAGACCAATGTTTCACAGAAAAAAAAAAAAAAAAGACAAAAGACTTGAGCTGGCACTTTATTTTTTATTTTTAAAAATTTTTAAAAAGGTTTTTGCCTTAGAGTGTGTGTGCTTGACAGAGAGAAAAACAGAGACAGTGAAAGGGAAAGTGAGAAATCACCCCTAGGGAAGGATGGCCATGCTGCAATCCCTTCTTCTCCATTCTCCCCCTGGGATCTTGGCTTGCACGCACACATGCCCGGCACAATTTTGAAGTCACTGGGCCCAGGACTCGAACCATGGGCAGCCATGTAGGATGGCACAATTTTGAAGTCACTGGGTCCAGGACTCGAACCATGGGCAGCCATGTGGGAGTCCAGCGACATAATCGCTATGCCATTTGTTGGCCCCAAGCGGGCACTTTTGAAGTTAATATTTGAAGAGAATGTCATTATGTCACTCAACATTTTTAGTCAGGGAAATGCAAAATGAAAGCACAACGGGGTGCCATAATAAATTATGGATCAAGAACTGGTACAACCATTTTGGAAAACAGCATTTGAAAACAGTATCTACTGACACTAAAATATGTATATACTATGACCCCATGTTCTAATCCTGGCGAACTACCCAAGAGAAGTGAGTTCCTATGTCTATAGAAGAAAGGCACAGGAATGTTTTTATCATTATTTTTTGTAAGAGGGACAAGCAGTTGGTGTAATGGCTGTGTCACTGGACTCCCATGTAGTCAACTGCAGTTCAAGTCCCGGACCCAGTAGCTTAAACTCACGCCAGGCACATGTGTGTGTGTGCCGAAGATCCCAAGAGGAGAATGGAGGAGAAGGGATTGCAATGTGGCCATCCCTCTGGGGGGGTGATTTCTCTTTCTTGCTTTCTGTCTCTCTGTCTCTGTCTTTGCCCTATAGCAAAAACCTCTCAAAAAAACAAAACAAACAAACAAACAAAAAAACAAAACCCTTTTCATAAGAGCCAAATTTGGAAACAACCTACATTCTTCTTCAATGGAAGAAAAGGTATCATGGTGTGTTCACGTAAGGAATGCCACACTGCAATTTAAAAAAGGAGGAAGATGACTTTTGCTACATGGTTGAATTTCACTGACAAGAGAAGTGTGAAAAATGATTCTATTTATATTAAGTTCAAGGGCATCCCTTGGGACAGGGTCATGGTCACTGCTGCCCCCTCCTACTCTGGGACAGGGCCAAGGTGGTCTAGAGCTTGCTGCAAATCTTCTGATATCTCAATCAAATGGCTTACACGGGGCTGTGTTTATGTGAAGTCCCGTTCACTAATTTGTAGCTTTTAAGTTCACTTGAACAACAACAATTGTGAAAAACTCCAGTCTGGGCTGGGAGTCGGGCAGCCCATCTCCCATATCAGGGCCTGATACCCTTCTCCAAATGGGTTCTTGGAAGAGAAAGTGCCAACCCAAAAGATAGAAGAGTAGCAGCCTGAGGCAGAGCGGATCGGCATTCTTGCCAGATCATTTCTGGCTATGCTGGCTGGTGGGGACATCTCCGCTGATGGTGCAAGAAGAAAGAGGGGCTCTGAGACTTCGGGGGAAACCAGGTCTCTGCCCACCAGCTCCCCGAGGTGGGAGGTGAGAGCGCACACAAAGTCTGATTCATCATCAAGGGAAATGTTACGCGCCTCGAGCCAGGGAACATTCTTGGACTGAACTTTTTTCAGTGTCCTAAATTTAAACAGCTAGAATTATTTTTTAAGCACCATCATATTTAACCTTTAGAAATGATTGGCCTCTTAATGGGGTATATGCATTCAACTGTAGGGCTGGAATTTGACACAGGTTTCTTTTCTGAGAGCATTTTTCTTCTCCTGTGCTCTGAGCACTGGGCAAAATGAAGCCTAGACCATCTAAAACACCAAACATTCATTGTGTACCTGCTGTGTGTGGGCAGGGCTGTTGGTGGACATGTGGGAGAGACAGGCATGTCTGGCTCGGAGGCGGGGAGGTGGGGGTGTCTGAGGGTGGCACCTAGCCTGTGGGTACAGCAGCAGCCGGGGCAGGTTAGTGCCATCAGGCTTGAGGAGGAAAAGGTCTTAACCCACTTGTGGAAGCCTGGAGTGCACAGTCGGAGGCTGAATGATATAGACCCCGTCACAGAGTGCCCCACCTTCAGGAGTGAACCCTCCCTGGGCAGCAGCAAGCTGTTTTGGGCAATGAGGTGTCCCAGGGTATGGGTAGGATCAGCCCTCCCTCTGCCAGCTTCCCATGAGGGCCCCTTTGTTCAGTGGTCATTCCTTGTACAGCCCCCTTGTGGAGGCAGTCCTTGAGCAGGCCATGCTGGTGCCCTCCCTGGTGCTCATGGAGAGGTGGGGAATGGAACCTGTGTGTGGTCATGCTGGGCCCAGCCATCTGGACACCGTGACCTTTCTGTGCCTGTGGGGAAAAAGCTGCAATGTGGCAACAATTGGAACATTTCCACCCCCCCACCCCCCCGGAAGTCACTGAAATCATCGGGCGTTGAAACTATCAGTTATATCACCTGTTAGGTCACGTGTGTTAAAGACAAGACTCTGCTAAGCTGGCTGTTTTGGACCCAATCTAATGCTGAGAGTGAAGGTGTCTGAGCACTGATGAGCCTGGGCAGGAACACTGCCAGAAATTACTGTTTGGGTCTCCTTGCCTTCAATTTCAAATTCCCTGCTTGGTGAGTGGCTGTGAGGTGGTCAGGGTGGGGGAGGGGTGCCTCCTGAATCCGCCCAGATGACGTCAGACCTTGTGTGGAGAGTGAAGTGCAGCCCTTAGCAGGAGGAATGACCTTGAAGCGCCATTTCAGATGCTCACTTTCAGGCTGTGGCTTGCTTCCGTTGGGGAAATTCTTGACCCCATTATATAACAGTAAAAGATGGGAAGCAAGTGTGAAAATGTATTAACAAAGCAGTTAGATGACTTTCAAAGACCCGCTGCTTCTCCCTTGGTGTGAAATCCTGCCCAGCAAGGAGGCTGGTCCACATAACTCCAACCCAGGCCTCTGCACAAGTACAGAGCTGGGGTGTTCCTTCAGGACAAGGAGAGCTACAGCCCTTTCATGCAGGGCTCTAGGTGCCAAATTAGCATGCATCCTGTGCAGTTCCCTGCTCATTGTACTAAGACAACCCCGAGGAGGTCACAGGTGCACACTGGGGCAGGTCACAGGAGCCAGCACTCCCCACTGAGCCTTGGGATTCTGGAAGGGAAGCTTTGTCCTCTGACAGCATCAGGAAGCCACAGAGAGCCTTTGCCTGCTCAGCTGCAGACACCAGTGACTGGCTGCTGAGGCTGAGGTGCCTGTCTTGGTGTCTCCATTCTGTGTCACCTGCTGCCTCCCGTGCTTTGGCCTGTGGTGTCCTTGGGGAACAGGACAGATGTCCTTGAGAGAAACCTTGGTGAGGAAAAGATTCCTTCCCAAGTCAGCAATCCTT